CGTACCTCAGATAATCTATAATCTCATGTTCTGTTTTACCCAGTTCTTTAAACAGTCTTTCTCTTCACATCAGCAATTATTAAATTTCTGGATTTCTCAGCAGGCCCAAACAGCAAAATGGCACCTCCACGGGAAAAGTCTATCTTTGCATATCGGTTACTGAGAAGAGACATGATGGCCATGTATAAATATGTGAGGGGAAGTCATTGGGAGGAAGGAGCAGGCTTCAAACTACAGGAAAGGAGGTTCAACCTGAACATTAGGAAGAACTTCCTAACTGTGAGAGCTGTTCAGCAGTGGAACTCTCTGCCCTGGAGTGAGGTGGAGGCTCCTTCTTTAGAGGCTTTTAAACAAGCTGGATGGCCATCTGTCAGGGGTGCTTTGAATGTAATTTTCTTGCTTCTTAGCAGGGGGTTGATCTGGATAGCTCACGAAGTCTCTTCCAACTCTATAATTCTATGACAACAGTGGAGATAGGCTACTGCTCTTCAGTCCCGCTTGTACATTTTTTCCTGGTACATCTGGCTAGCCACTGTGTAAAACAGGATGCTGGGCTCAATAGTCCTGTCCTGATTAGTCTCATCCTCTCAACTTAAGAACACAAAATGTTGGTGGAGAGATTTAAGAAATTTAAAGATGGGCTGAAAGCCAATCTTAAAAATGTGGTATAAACATCAAGAACTGAGAAGCCCTGACATTTGAGCATTGTAACTGGAGGTCAGCCATTATCAACAGTGTTATGAAGAAGCACAAATACAGGGTGAAAGTCAGAAACATGCTGAGAAGAAGACGTGTCAAGCAAACCCTTGTTGTGACCACCTTCCATCTGGATACCTATGTCCCCAGTATGAAAGACCATGTGGATCCAGAAGATGAAAGTCCATGTGGATCCAGAAGATGCCTTCACAGTTATTTACAGGCTCACCACTAAGACTCTACCTTTGGAAGACAATCATATTCAGCCAGAGTGATCGCCCATGAATTAATGGGCTTGTCTTACATTCTTCAGATAAGCCTGTGACAGTCACAGAGTTCCTAAAATCATAGAGGAAGGTTCTTAGTAGGCAGCGCCTTTGTCAGGAGGAGGGGAGTCTGTGCTTTGAGGCGTGGGGTCAATAGGTTCAGTGGCTTCGTTGCCAGGCTCAGCCTCACTCAGCATGTGCTTATACTGGCGTTTGAAGAATCCAACCTGGAGAATGAGTGAGAAAGGAGAAAAGAAAGAGAAGCAGATGAAAGTAAAGGCAAAAGTACAGGTGCAGTTTTTTTTAATTCTTCCTCTACACATGAAGAGATCAATATCTGGTAGCATTCTAGCCTCACAGGAAGAAAATATGTAAAAACTACAGTGCATATTTGATATATTCACACCTTTAAAAGTCTGTCAGGGAATTACTCATTGCAGTAATCCATGTGGTTTTTCTGTAAAAAAAACCAAACAAACCCACAACTCTGTGTGTGGGGTGGGGGTTCAAAACATGCTTCTAGACAGGAAGCACATTTTCTATCCAAAAAAGCAAGTCTGCACGGGAAAACCACGTGCACTTGTGCAGACTACTTTCTCAAAATATTTTGCAGAAGTGCAATGCATGTTCACTGCTTCCATGTTCTTATTACAAGCAGTTATTTATAAACAAGAAATCCATTCCTCTTTAAGAAAGCTAATGGTAAAATTGTTTCCAGGCACAGACAAAAGTGAAGTCCCAGGATGCTAATGTTCCTAAAAGGGCTTTACACTTCAACACTTGAGTCCTAAGAGGAAAAGAACTGGGCTTCAAATCAGCCTGGAAATGTCAAAGTTGCCCAAAATTCAGGCCATATCTAACCATCTAATGCAGTTTGAAGTTAGCTTCAAGCTGTGGCAGCCAGACAACAAACACCCACAAAAGTCTATAAAATGTGTACCAGTGCTCTGAAGTTTATGCAATCACTTCTCAGACCTCAAACTGGTTCCAAGATTTCCTGCGTATTTATTTATTTGGGCTGCCGTAAGTTCCAGAATTCTTCTGGAACATGGCCATATAGCAACCCAGTGATTCCAGCCATGAAAGCCTTCAACAACATATTTATTTATTTACTCACTTACTTACTACATTTGTATACCACTTTTCTCCCCCTAATGGAACTCAAAGCAATTTCCAATATTATAAAGGCAAAAATCAATACCATACATACATGTGAATATTCATTTATTTCACTCTGCAGGTGTAATCACTTGCACAGTGAAACCACTTTCTTCAGTAATAGTTTCAAACTGCATTAAAACTGGTCAGTGTAGATGAAGCACGAGACATCCAGCAACCAGCTAAGATGATATCAGTGATAAGAGATGGGTGTTCAGAGACTTACGACCTTATCACATTGGGAGGGAAAAGCATGGGTGACCATCCTTTTAGCCGAGAGAATCACCCTCTTATATCATCCGGTCTTATTTGGATTTCTGCCTCCCCATCACACTCACACGTGGAAATGTAGGAGCTGTCAGGGCTGTAGTGGGGGGGGGGGTTGTTAAGGGTTCCACCTCCCCCCAAAAAAAGGTTCTCCCCCCCCCCAAAAAAAACTTGGTTTACTCAAGAATTTTAACTGCCTAACCAAGTTATGAGTAAACCAGGTTTCTTTTTTAACCTGACACATTTGAGGGCAGGGTTAAACTTTTAACCCCTCCTCCCTTGCTATGGCCCTGGGAGCTGGCAATACATTCATCACAAAGTCAGTATTAGTTTTTTTAAAAATCAGGATAAACAACAATATTCAAAAACCAAGAGACCCTTTGTTCTGCCCAAAGCCCCTCATATTAAAGAAGACTGACACCAGTTCAAAACCACTTCTTTCCATGGGATAAAACTGTTCTGTCCCAAAACCCATAGGGTACAAGAGACAGTGATCCAGGTTTAAACAATTTCTTTCCATTGGATCATATAATTCTGCATCAAACTCAAGAGAATACAAGAGACTGCTGATGGCTGGGCAATGAAACAACACAAACTTTGATGGTTCTTATCCCACCTGTTTTTCAGTTGGAACCATTGGAGTAAAGCGCGATAAGAGGGAGGAGCTCAGGACATTTCCACCTCTTTTCAACCCTGGAACATATGATGGACTTTGTGCCTCTCCATGCTTGAAAAAAGGCTGAAATGTCCTATGAGGGGGAAATTTCTCGATATGATGAGGTCAATTGCTAGACTTTCCTCCTTTCATGAGGCTTCTGCCTCTTTTCAGCCAAGAAGGGCTATGCATGGTGACCTGAAGTAGTTTAACTCATGTGATGAGCTCAGTGCCGCTCCACGCATGAAAAGATGCTGAAGTGTCGTATGACAGGGAAATTTCTCAATGTGATAAGGTGGTTGCTCTTTCTTTTATTTGTTCCTTCACATGCACCAAAAGAAGGCAATGTAGAACATGCTCTCCCTTCATCCTTTGAATGTACCCCAAGCACCACCTCACCTTGTACAGGACTGCAGCAATCAGAGCGAGAAGGACAAGTCCACCAACTGTGCTGCCAATGATCATAGGAAGGAAATTGTAGTGCTCTACGCGTTCCACAACTGTCTGCACCTGGAGTGAGAAGGAGTGGAAAGGAAGGTGGGCAGAGTGAGATTTATCCTCAGCTGCCAAGGCTGATGCATCCACTGGAAGGCAAGGCAATCTCTATTCTCTATATGCTGTATGCATCTTTCCAAATCCATGGGGTCCCAGTGGGAGGTACGGAGAACCACCTGCTCAACACCCCACATTGCCAACTCACCTCAACCTCCATCCCATGAGGAGGGAATGGAGGGAAGCATCGCCACCCGGCTTCCCTCCATTGCTCCTAAGGCAACACAGGAAGCCTCCTACATTGCCGCCACTGCAGCGTACACCACTTGATCTCCCCTTTTGGCACAGAGCCCAGGTAAAAGTCCCTGTGCTCCATGTCAGAAGTGGAGAGCAAGAAGCGCATGAGCAAATCAGGCCATCTGATAAGGTGATAAAAAAGAATACCCAAATGCTTGGCTGTGACTGGTCTGTTCTTGTCCTCCAAATTACTCTTGAATTACGGTCATTCATTCAAGGGAAAAAACCAAGAATTTAAGCCCTGGTTGTGAGAACCATTAGGCCTGGTGGCACAGCAAGTTAAACCACTGAATTGCTGAACTTGCTGACCAAAAGGTTGGCAGTTTGAATCTGTGGAGCGGGTGAGCTTCCACTGTTAAGCCCAGCTTCTGTCAACTAGCAGTTTGAAAACATGCATATGTTAGTAGATCAATAGGCACTGCCTTGGCAGGAAAGTAACAGTGCTCCATGCACCGGCTCTTCGGCTTAGAGATGGAGATGAGCACCATCCCCCAGTATTAGACTTAATGAAAGGGGAAATCTTTACTTTTTCTGTGAGAATCATGGGGAGATGTGCACACTTTCCTACATTTCACAGATGAGAACTGGAGCACACATGCTCAAGCAAGATCAGAGTGTGGTCAAGATGGCCAAATGTATTAATCAGGAAGAACACAAAAACTAGAAGAGTCTCAAGCAGTTTGATTTAACCTGGGCCAACTGAGAAATGCAAGACCCTGCTCCCTACTTTCCTCTCCCTCCTAATGAGTGAATGGAGCCCAAACTACTTTTGTATTGTGAATTCAGTTTGCAGCCATTGAACTAAAAAGAGAACAATGCAGGGAAATGAGAGGAGGAAAGAGAAACCTGGCCATTTTAAAAGCAGCTGAAAAAGTAGGAGGAAACAAGGACTGACCCTGCCAAGTCAGTAATGTTGGAGACCATGGACTTGTGCTCCTCCTCTGCCTCACTTACCTTGGTCTGGATAAAGCCTTCCTTTTGTGAGTACTTTTTGTCATCATAAGAAATTTTTGCCAAGCTCACCAAAGTCACTTTCTTCTGCTGGACCTGGAAGAGAGAAGTTGTTCATACTTAGGAACTCTATGTTCCCAAGATATTTCCCCAAATAAGATTCTATATGGTTGATTAAAAAGGTGAATTCTTTGATAGGCACCAAGAAGCTCTTGGCAATGGGGATGAATAAGGGGTTGTGTTAACATTAGCACAAGGAAGCCAAAAACAAAAAAAAAAAACTTCCTCCCCTCTGTACCTGAGATGCCCACTGAAAATGGATGTCCCCCTTGATCCTGAACTCCAGGGGTGTTTTCCGGAACCCCAGCATCTGAATATCACAGCGGATTATCTTGCAGGAAGCAACAGAGCAGTCCTGAGAGGGAAGGAAAGATACCTTGATATCAAGCCAAAGAGAAAATCCACAAAACAGCTTGACTTGATGTATGCCTCCTTAGGAACATTGCCTTGTAAATATTCAGGCATACATGTATGGTAGATTAGTGGAAAAGGTGCTCCACCACCATCATCTACCTTCTCTAATTTGTTGTTGTGTCCCTTCAAATAATTTCCAATTTACAGTGACCCTAAAGCAAAAGGATTACTAGGTTGTCCTGACAAGATTTATTTAGAAACAGAATGTGATTTGTCCATGGTCACCCAGCTTTTCATGGTTGAGTGCAGATTAGAACCCTGGTCCCCAGACATAATCCAACACTTAAGCCACAACACTTCACTGACTCACCTTAAATTATTCCCAACTTTTCCTTACATGAATCTAGTAAACCCATAGTTTTTTCATAGTGCTTGAAACAAGCAGTCCTAATGCTCTTTACACTTTCTTACAAACAGGAAAAGTAGTAGACATGACCATGTATGGAACAACTATGTTTGTTCTATAGCTGTTGCTATTGGTGCTTTTTGACTTTGCCTATATTGTAACCCAGCTCAGTAAGATCTAAGCAATCTACAGCTGGACTTTGAGGGAAGGAACAGGCCTATGTTGTGCCAACTCACCAGAACAGGGTGATCCTCCCTGGATGGAAAATCCTGGGAGCCTGCAGTTTCATCCTCCAATGTACAGTTGGTGATCTGAGGCTGTGGAATGAATTGAGTATGTGGATGAAAAACTAGGTAAGTCTGACTGAAGGCAGGCAATCACAGCTCAGGTATTGCACTTCAAGGCTGGGAATCACCTCTGTACTTAACATAGACTCCAGTCCAAGTAAAATAGCAAAGCAGTTTATTGAAGAAATAGATCTATACACAGCCATCCCCTGCCACCCCCTGCCATGCGTTGCTGTGGCCCAGTCTGTGTATATTGTGTTTTATGTGTGTATATATGTGTATGTGTGTGTTTGCATATATTTATATATATATATATAGAGAGAGAGAGAGAGAGAGAGAGACAGAGAGAGAGAGTGTTTTGTGCATGCATTATAATGTATTTTTTTATTTTTGGCTTTTTAAGTCCCTTCTGTTGTGTTTTTCAGTGTTTTTATGAGTGATGGTCACTCATTGGCCTGATATGTGTATTGTGTCCAAATTTGGTGTCAATTCATCCAGTGGTTTTTGAGTTATGTTAATCCCACAAACTAACATTACATTTTTATTTATATAGATATATTAATTGAAGGAGCAGTTTGTCCAGTCTAGGTTTACGAGATATAATGCTTTGAGTCTGAGTCCTGCTTTTGTAATCATTATGTTAATCCCACAAACAAACAAACAAACATTTCATTCATTCATATATATATATATATATATATATATAGCGCAATTCAGCAAAATAGTTTAACAAACCAAAGTCCAAATATCAGAAATAATCCACAGAAATCAAAGTATAGGAGTAGCAGCAAAAACCAGGAATACAAAAGCAGAATAAATCCAAAACATGAGATTCAGGAACAGTCCTCAAAACTTGGAATCATGAGACATGAACAAAAGGATACATGGAACTTGGAACTAGAAATCCCTTGACTTGATAATAGATCTATACTCAAATACCAGTGTTGCCTGGACTGATGGACCCATCTATTGGGCTAGCTAATATAGACAGAAAATCATGCTTTCTCCCCTGGGAAACTGATAAGCACTTCTTAGCTAATAGATGTCTTGACCTTAATAAACTCTCCTGAAAAGCTCTATATTGATGGAACACAAATCTCCTATCTAATTGCTCATTAGTCTGTCCACCTGGACTTTCATATTCATCCTCTGACCTCAGATCTGTTCCTGACCTTGCTTCCCTAGCAAACTGCCTTTCAGGAATGTGGCCTTCAGACACAGATTGCTCATTTTCAGGGCTTAAAATCTCTTGCTGGCTCTCCTGCTGACTTGCAGACCCAGAATCCCCAGTGACATCAGAATGGCTAACAGGTCCAGAATCCCCAGAGAGATCAGGTGTAGGCACAATCATAGGCTGAACTACAACATCCGGGAATGCTGTGATGAAGAAGGGCTTGTCTCTGTGAGAGGCCAGTTAGGGTTTGAATGTGGCTTTAGAGGGCTTCAATTGATTGAGTTAATCAATCGAAAGTTAATATATTATTTAGTTGTGTCTTAATAAAATTCCACTGGTTTTTTTGCTTTAAAATGTCTCTGGCTGTCTCTCTCTCGACTGATGAAGAGTCAAGCCACACCACAATGAGCCCACAAACCAGCATACCCACAAGGTCGCATATAGATTATAGCGGAGAGAATAAGCAGATAACTATACCTCAGAGGAGATGACTTGAGACACATCCCAGACTTGGATGCCTTTCCATTTTACCGGGATCTGAAATGTCATTGAGACAGGGATGCTTCGTTCTCGGAGGTTTCTCACCTGAAAAAGAAATGGATTCTTACAAAACAGAAAGAATACACAAAGGCCCCAGATCTCAGTCCTTTTTTAATTTATTTTAATTGGGAAAAAAAGCAGTAACTATTTCTAACTATAAGAATAAGCAAAGCAATCCAGAATCTGCAAATATTATAATTTCAGAGTGGTTGATTTCACTTCATTGTACAGGCAACCAGAGTGGAGGTCTCATTCTTGACCATCCTTTGTCTATTGATGATTTCTCCCTGTCACAAGTCACAAAACCACACTTTGCCCTTCACCTCATAGCGATGCTCCACACTCTTTCTTGTGCCTTCCTGACCAGTCGTAAAGTTGACATACTTAGTTGATTCCTCAGTGCTGGGGATATGAAATGGAATAATGAATGTCAGCAATGAAAGGAAGTAACACTTTGAGACAGAGAAGCAGACATTTCAGAGGCACTGCTTTTTGCATGTGACAAAAGAGAGGCTCTTTTAGAGGAAACTGTACAAGTTTTGCTTTCACCCTAAAATAGCTATGTCATTGATTATGCTTTGTGTGTTTTCAGGTCATTTCCATTTATGAAGACATGAGGTTTCCTGAAGCTGAGTGTGACTTGCCCAGTGGGTTTTCCTATCCAAGCATTCTCCAGAGTTGTAGTCCAATGCTCTAACCACTGTCATTCCTTTTGCCTCTCTTTCCATATTCAAGCTAACATTAGTCTGGCCTCCGAGAAGAGGTCAACATCTCCTAAATTTATTCCTTTCCTCACATTTCTTGTTTATCCTTTTGATTTACACTTAAGAGTGCATGAAACTGTCAAAGAGTGCTGGAACCTGCTCTGGCAGGTGGCCTAAATATCCTAAAAGCACCAACTCCCATCTAGTGTTGGACACTAAACAAGGTTGGCTCTGGTTAGTAATTGGATGTGGGGTTTTTTGTGTGGGTATGTATGTCAGGATTGGGTCCCTGGTGGTGCAGTGGGTTAAAGCGCTGAGCTGCTGAGCTTGTCGACTGAAAGGTCACAGGTTCGATTCCGGGGAGCGGCGTGAGCTTCCGCTGTCAGCCCTAGCTTCTGCCAACCTAGCAGTTCGAAAACATGCAAATGTGAGTAGATCAATAGGTACCGCTCCGGCGGGAAGGTAACGGCGCTCCATGCAGTCATGCTGGCCACATGACCTTGGAGGTGTCTATGGACAACGCTGGCTCTTCGGCTTAGAAATGGAGATGAGCACCACACCCCAGAGTCAGACATGACTGGACTTAATGTCAGGGGACTACCTTTACCTTTATATGTATGTCAGGAGCAACTTGAGAAACTGCAAGTTGCTTCTGGTGTGAGAGAATTGGCCATCTGCAAGGATGTTGCCCAGGGAGACCCTGGATGTTTTGATGTTTTACCATCCTTGTGGGAGGCTTCTCTCATGTCCCCATGGGAGCTGGAGCTGACAGAGGGAGCTCATCCATGCTCTCCCAGATTTGAACCTAACCTGTAGATCTTCAGTCCTGCCAGCACAAGAGTTAACCCATTGCACCGGGGGCTCCCTTGGATGAGTGACCATCAATGACTACCAAGAATTGTAGGCTATATTTCAGAGGAAGGAACTGGCAAAAGCACCTCTGAGCATTCTTTGCCTAAGAAGACCCTATGGGATTCATGAGCTGTTTGGCAACTTGAAAGCTTGTGTGCCCAAGCTGCCCAGAAAAGGAAGGAAGGAAAGAAGGAGAAAATATCTCACGTGGTGACCATAATGTATACTGCATATTTGACAGGCAAGTCTTCTTGGTGAATCATACGATTGGTGATGTTTCCTCCATTTTCACTAGACAAATGATAGAAAATAAGTAAATTACCTTTTTTTAAAAAAAAACCAGACCCCTTCACTGATAAGGGCTATAGCCAAGTTTTTTCTGCGTTAACACCAGCCTCCACAAAAAAAGAATGGCATCCCAGACCCATATAAACAAGAGTTTATTACAGTTTACCCACTGCCATCATGCCACTACAAAACGGAATCATATTTTAATTCAAAAGGCCCATCAGTGTATCAGTTACCTGTTGGCTTTAGCTATGATCCGTAGAGTGTCTCCTAAGTCAGCACCAGGTGAGACATCAAATGTGGCAACAAAGATAGCCTGAAACACAAAAGCATATGAAGCATGGCTTGGATTAATATTTCCTTGTGTGGAGAATAATTTATTGTGCACCCACAATGAAAACAATAATGAATTTTACAAATTGAGCATCCCTTATCAAGAATTCTGAAATCCAAATGGTTCACACGGGTGGCTGAAAAAGTGATAGTGTTGCTTTCTGAGAGTGCAATGTACATTCTCTGTTTCATGCACAAACTTATTTAAAACATTGTGTATAAATGTATTGTTGAAGACTTTGAAACATTCACACATAGCTCCAACAGACAAGAGTTCTTTCTCCCACCCTGGACTTTCCACAGATATATAAACCCAATTTTCCAGTTTCAAACAAATTTCACAACCTCTGACGATGCCTGCCACAGATGCAGGCAAAACATCAGGAGAGAATGCTTCTAGAACATGGCCATACAACCCGAAAAAACTACAACAACCCATTGTGTACAAAACTACCTTCAAGGTATGTATATAAGATGTGTAGGAAACATCAATTGATTCTGTGTTTAGACTCGAGTCCCATCTTCAAGATTAGTCATTATGTATATATATGCAAATATAGGTATTTCAAAATCTGGGGGAAAAAATCTGAACTCTAAAACATTTCATGTCCCATGTATTTCAGATATGGGATAGTTGACCTATGCCATGTCTATTCTACCCTATTTAAATTGGGATTTAAATTTAGATGATTTTGTCAATTCCCCTAAAATAAAAACAATGAATGTTAATCACAAGAGCATATTACACCACAAGGAATGAAGAATACCCGTTTCTCACTTAAGTTAGTAAAATCATCAGGGAATGATTGCTTTGGTCCAGGTTTCTAGACTGAGACTCAAATCAAGGAAAAGCTTTTTGAGAACTACCACTCCTCTTGGCATCCCCCCAGCAACAGCAAGGGTATCCCTCTGGGCAGTTAAACCAGGAAACCCCAACTAGATGGCCCCCCACGATGGTCCTTCTCCAGGGTCAAACCAAGAATAGGCAACTTAGAAGTCCCTGAACAAACTCAGAAGTGGAGTGGGCACAACAAAAGGCAACCTGGCAAAATGGCAATACATAAAAGAATCCCACGCTTTATGTGACTGTGGAGCAGAACAGACTACTCCGCATCTGTATGCTTATCCACTATGCCCTGCCTCATGTACAGATGAAGAATTGTTGGAGACTACAGACAATGCCATTGCTGCTGCCTGTTTTTGGTCAAAATATATTTAGCCACCTGCGCCCCTTTTATTTTTATTTGGTTTTTTATACTAAATTATGCAATGGTTTTGATAAGAAATAATAATAATAGGTTTCTAGAAATTATTTAATGGTATTTTGGACACACTCCCAGAAACAGTAAGTATAGAAGGAAGCCCCTACCTCTGCTCTGCTCCAGAAAATTGGGTGGTTGACGTTGCAGGTGGCAGTCCTGTTGGCACGTTCTTCAGAGACAGGAGCCGAGTGGCACTTCACGCTGACAACATTTTGGCTGAACTGATAAGAATGATGCATCCAAATGTTATGGGAAGATTTCAGAAGACAACATGATGCTTACACACCCTACCCATTTCACCCCTACATATTGACAAGCTGGAACACGTCCAAAGAAGGGCAATGTATTCTTTCTTTCTTTACCATACTTATATCCCACCTTTCTCAACCCCAGTGGGGACTCAGAGCTTGTTTTCTGCTGTTCCAGAAACTAGGAGCAATGGATTCAAGTTACAGGAAAAAAAGGTTCTACCTAAACATTAGGGAGAACTTCCTAATGGTTAAAACTGTTCAACAATGGAATACGCTGCCTTGGAGTGTGATGGGGTCTCCTTCTCTGGAGGTTTTTAAAGAGAGGCTGGATGGCCATCTGTTGGGAGTGCTTGGATTGTGGGTTGGGAATTGATAGCACTTAGGGTCTCTTCCAACTCTAGGATCTATGATTCTTAGATTCCCCTGGCTGAAACTTCTCAGTTCCACCAACCTGCAGCAAAGTAACCTTGCGGTACGACAGTCCTGCTGGGTAGGAGAAGCTGAGAGTGGTGCTGTAGGAATCCTCTCCACAGTTCTGGATAGACGCTGTTACATTGAGCTCAAGAGTCAGGCCTACAATTACAGTATTCAGGCTGGATGGGAATAAAAACATAGAGGGCATAAAATCCAAGGGTTTTAAGGCTTCTTTCTCAACCTGTGAACTCTTCATACATATCCTCCACTTATTTTAATGCCAAGCATGAAAAATGAATGGCAAAGACTAAAATAATTTCTGTGGCCTAAGATTCTCAAAAGTATTCTGCATTAACTTCACATTTTACAAGTCTTATGGTTTCAAAGCAGACCTTATTTCAGTGCAATATATATTGAAACAGAACTAAAATTTGGTTTGTGTTGCTAGTCAGCTTGCAAAAGACAAGCTGATGATGCAGCAACCTCAATTCACTGGAAGTGGGACTTATCAAAATGAAAGAAAAGCTGGGGCATAAAATGGAGGTTTTCCTTTAAAATCAGTCTAGAATGTTAAGAAGTTCAATGAAATGACAATGTCAAAAATAATTAATTCAAAATGGGAGATATGCCAGCACAATAAATTTTAAAACAGTTTAAAAAATTACCCTTCATTGGGACTCTTTGAAAGCCTAATTTCACATAGATAATGGAGAGACAAGAAAAGAAAAGAAGAGAAATAATGTGTTTCCTACCCTGAGAAAGTAAATGAGGTTTGTAGAGCATCTACACATTTCCCATCACTGCCACAGTTCTTCTCAAAGGGGAGCTGCAAAAATGTGCATAACATTCAAATAAATTCAAAGTCCATAGTTGGAAGGAGAAATATATGAACATGCCTAAATCTCAAGATCCTCAGGTGAGAGATTTCTATTAGTCCCGCCAACCCATCCAGGGGTTAATTGGTTGTATGGAAAGACCTTCAGTGTTACATTCTTAAACAATTTAAACTTTTTTAAAAAAAACTAGTGGTGCTTTGCTTTATTGATTTATTTATTGTGTCAGAAGCAAATTAAGAATACAGTTATAATGCATACAAAAACCACAAACAAAGTTAAAAGCTTGGCATTGTACTAAATTTCCTTTGACCACAAGCTGGCCACTTGGAGTGCATCTGATGTCCAAAAGTGCCGGTGCCTCATCAAACTACAACTTTCAGGATTCTATAGTATTGGACTATGGCAGTTTATTTATTTATTTATCATGTCAGAAGCAAATTGTGGATACAGTTATAATGTATTTAAAAAAAACAAGTTAAACTTAGCATTATACTAAATATCCTTTGAGCAGAAACTGGCCACTTCGAGTACCTCTGCTGTCGCTGTGAGAAGGTCCTTCACTGTGCATGTGGCAGGGCTCAGGTTGTGTTGTAGTAAGTGGCCTGTGGTTTGCTCTTCTCCACACTCGCATGTCGTGGACTCCACTTTGTGGCCCCATTTCTTAAGGTTGGCTCTGCATCTCGTGGTGCCAGAGCACAGTCTGTTCAGTGCTTTCCAAGTTGCCCATCTTCTGTGTGCCCAGGAGGGAGTTTCTCATTTGGTATCAGCCATTGATTGAGGTTATGGATTTTTAGCCTGCCACTTTTGGACTCTTGCTTGCTGAGGTGTTCCTACAACTTTCTCTGTAGATCTTAGAGAACTGTTTCTTGATTTAAGGCATTGGTGTTCTGGCTGATATCTGAACATGGGGTGGGCTGGAGATGTTACTTGCATTTTGTGGGATGCTACTTCCTGATGATGTCAGGTGGTGCAATACCAGCTAAACAGTATTATTATTCCATAGGTGTGGGGCGTAGACATCCTGTGATAATGTGACATGTCTCATTAAGAGCCACCTCCACTGTTTTAATGTGTTGAGATGTATTCCACACTGGGCATGCATATTCAGCAACAGAGTAGAAAGCGAAAGGGCAGGTGTCTTCGCTGTATCCAGTTGTGATCCCCAGGTTGTGCCAGTCAGCTTTCGTATGATATTGTTTCTAGTGCCAATTTTTTGCTTGATATTCAGGCAGTGCTTCTTGTAGGTCAGAGTACAGTCCAGAGTGACTCCCAGGTATTTGGGTGTGCTACAATGCTCCAGTGGGATTCCTTCCCAGGTAATCCTCAGAGGTTGAGATACTTGTCTGTTCTTAAGACGAAAAAGGACACATCTACATTTTAGATGGATTCAGAATCAGCTGGTTTTCCCTGTAATAGACAGTAAGAGTACCTAGAACTTCATAGAACTTCTATTCAACCATTCCAAAGCTCCCTGCTTGAGCGGTGATGGCATGATCGTCGGCGTAGATGAAACTCTCTGTGTCTTCTGGCAGTGGCTGATCATTTGTGTAAATGTTAAACCCTAATGGAGCAAGCATATTGCCCTGAGGCAGGCCATTCTTCTGTTTTCACCATGTGCTTTAATTTTTTTATCATTAGGTTTTAGCTTTATCTACTTTTGACCTTGCTGTAAGTTATCTTGGGTCCCATGTTGGGAGAAAATACACTGATTTTGTATCCACAGATTCAACCATACATGACTTGAAAATATCCTCTCATTTAATATAAGGAGTGTCATTTTACTATGTCATTGGGTATAATGGGACTTGAACATCCACAGATTTTGGTATCTGTAGGGAATATGCAAGTGCTGGACTCAAACTCAGCCGATACCAAAAACCTGCTGTACAAGTAAAACATAATCAAATCAAATCAATAATATAATAAGAATCTATGAGAGGACTGTTTCTCAATGGACAACCTACAACATATATTGGATCCAACGAAACCTTTCCTCTCCTTCCCCTCTCTTTTGCTCTGTCCTCACAATCACCATCTCCTCCTTTATGCCTGTCTACCTATGTTAGAAGAAATATTACCATCAACCAGGAAGAATTATATAAGGAAGAGGGGTGAGGGGTCCAGAAAAGAGAAGCCTCTCAAGGAAGAATCCTGCTGTATTGCTACTGGTTCTCCTACTGCTCTGGTGGGACCTGGGAGGGCATTCACCTGGGCAGTGTAGATCTGCTGGGACTCTTGGCTCAGAATCGGCTGGAGTCTCTGGGCTTGATCAATGGGGTTCCCCACAAGGCTGTAATTGAGCCTCAAGGTGATGGGAGTCAAGGTATCTTCAATGCAGCTCTGAGAAATGAAACAAGAAGGGAAGCACTTTAAAAGGGATATTAGTACTTCTGAGTTTCTTTTGAGTCGGCTGCATGTCATCAGGGAACATATCTTTTGCACATTATTTCTGAGCCCAAAGGGGGGAATCATTATTGTAATGAATAATATAAATATTTGCAAACCCATTGTGTGTATATACCTCCAAGTCACCTGTCAACTTAGAACTATAGAATCATAGCATCATAGAATCATAGAGTTTTAAGAGACCTCATAGGCCATCCAGTCCAACCCCCTGCCAAGAAGCAGGAAAATCACAATCAAAGCACCCCTGACAGTTGGCCATCCAGCCTCTGCTTAAAAGCCTCCAAAGAACGAGCCTCCATGACAGCAACTCTATACGTTTCATAGTGTTTCCATAGGCCCCATCCACACAGCTATATAAAATCCACATTGAACTGAATGATATGGCATTGTGGATTCATATAATCCTGTTCAAACCAGATATTGCAGATTATCTGCCTTGATATTATAGGTTATATGGCTGTGTGGAAGGTCTCTAAGTCAAGGAATGCTCAGACTATTTTGTCTCTGAAATGTAGCATACAGGCAGTCTCCTGTCTAAGTATACATCCAAATTGACCCTGCTTAGCTTCCAAGATCATATGGGATCTGGTTCCTTTGGGGTATTATTTAGGCTTTATATAAATTCAGGACTTCCCCAAAATATACAAGGGAAGTGATGACAACTCACAGGTAAATTGATGGCATGATCCTTGCATTTTTGTTCAAGCCCAATCTTGAAACCTGAATTCCAAACAGGAGATTTAGAGCTGAAGGAGGCAAGAATCTTTGTCTTCTCAGAATCCAGGGCCAGGCTGTATTGAAGGTCACTAAAAATAACACCTGGATTGGGAAAGAGAGAGAGAAAAGAGGAAGAGATTATGAATAGTACCGCAGAATACTTGAGGAAGCCGTCTGCAACAGCACATGGAAAAAAGTAAGAGGGACATAAGTCCTTCCTCTTTGGCATTCTCCTTTCCATACTTCAGGAAGCCTATTCTACTTTGTATTTGTGCTCCTTAACCTCTTAAATCAAGAAATAGTTTTCTAAGATCTACAGAGACACTCGCTGGAACACTTCAGCAAGCGAGTCCAAAAGTGGCAGGCTCAAACCCAGAACCTTAATCAATGGCTGATACCCAATGAGAGACTCCCCCCTGGGCACACAGAAGACTGGGCGACTTGGAAGGCGCTGAACAGACTGCGCTCTGGCACCACGAGATGCAAAGCCAACCTCAAGAAATGGGGCTACAAAGTGAATCCACGACATGCGAGTGTGGAGAAGAGCAAACCACAGACCACCTGCTGCAATGCAACCTGAGCCCTGCCACATGCACAATGGAGGCACTCCAAGTGGCCAGCTACTGGTCAAAAGACATTTAATCAACTACCAGGCTTGCAAACTCTGTCTTGTCTGTTTGTTTAAAAAAATGTTAAAAATGTAATACAATTGTCTGGTTGATACTAACACGATAAATAAATGCCTCTTGTATGGAGCCCCCAGTAGTGCAATGGGTTAAACCCTTGTGCCAGCAGGACTGCTGACCAAGGTCAGCGGTTGGAATCCAGGGATCAGGGTGAGCTCCCATCTGTCAGCTCCAGCTTCTCATGTGGCGACATGAGGGGAGGCTTTCAAAAGATGGTCAAAACATCTGGGCATCCCCTGGGCAACGTCCTTGCAGAAGGCCAATTCTCTCACACCAGAAGCGACTTGCAGTTTCTCAAGTCACTCCTGACATGAAAAAAAAAACCCTCTTGTATTATCATGCTTGTTGATTTGAATGGCTCTCTAAAAGCATTTCAATATCCACTGTCCTATCCATTCCAATATACATTGTCATATTATTTTCCTCTTCTGCACAAGCCCATACTTGGGAATTGATCGTAGACTCACCTAATTTATCCTTTGTAGCTTTGGAAACAGTGAAGCACACTCTTGCCACACTGGCCATCTTTTCCACAAGTTCTTGGCTCTGACACCTGAAGATGGAGGTGGGAATCAAAGGGGGCTGGAACTCAATAGAGACTCTCAGATCCAGAACAGGACGGGACCTAGAAGGAAAAAGCAAAGGGCAATGCAGTCACATCCAGTGGCCAAGGCTTACAAATTGGCAGCCCTCCCAAGAAACCAAAGAAGTCAATATCTGGAGAATTGCTGAATTCGTGGTCAGTTTTTTTAAAAGCCAGGGAGAAAAGGAATGATGGTAAAGGACAAAGAAAGTCAGGGCAGGGCTCGCTCTTTGTTTGAGGTTTTGACAAGTAGAATTCCTACATCATTGAGTCTCTCAGGCCTTTTCTACACTGCTTTATAATTCAGATTATCAAAGCAGACAATCCACATTATCTGCTTTGAATTGGATTATATGAGTCTATGCTGCCATATAATCCAGTTCTAGGCTTTATATAGCAGTGTAGAAGGGGCCTCAGACATCATTGTAAACATGTCTTAAAGCTTGATAGAGCAGTTATAAAAAATGTTCATCCCACACAGGTTCAACCTTTGTAAGTGATCCTCAGACCAAAAGGTGAATTTATTTGGATCACCTGGACCTCAACTACTACACAAAGTTGTTGGCTTCAGATATCCAGGGCTATGGATCACATCTGGTATTACATGGAAACTTGAAGTCCATGAAATGCAAAGATACAGAATGGGGGATGCATGGCTCAAGAGCAGTACTGTGAAAAAGATCTTGTTCTTGTGGACAACAAGTTAAACATGAGCCAACAATGTGATGCAGGCGGCAAAAAAAGCCAATGGGATTTTGGCCTGCTCTGGTATAGTGTCTAGATCCCGGGAAGTCATGCTCCCCATGCTCTATTCTGCTTGGTTAGACCACACCTGGAATATTGTGTCCAATTCTGGGCACCACAATTGAAGAGAGATATTGACAAGCTGGAATGTGTCCAGAGGAGGGCGACTCAAATGATCAAGGGTCTGGAGAACAAGCCCTATGAGGAGCGGCTTAAGGAGCTGGGCATGTTTAGCCTGAAGAAGAGAAGGCTGAGAGGAGACATGATAGGCATGTATAAATATGTGAGAGGAAGTCATAGGGAGGAGTGAGCAAGCTTGTTTTCTGCTGCCCTGGAGACTAGGATGCAGAACAATGGCTTCAAACTACAAGAAAGGAGATTCCATCTGAACATTAGGAAGAACTTCCTGACTGTGAGAGCTGTTCAGCAGTGGGACTCTCTGCCCCGGAGTGTGGTGGAGGCTCCTTCTTTGGAAGCTTTTACAGAGGCTGGATGGCCATCTGTCAGGGGTGATTTGAATGCAATTTTCCTGCTTCTTGGCAGGGACTTGGACTGGATGGCCCATGAGGTCTCTTCCAACTCTATGATTCTATGAAATCCCATTCCCCACATACAAATTATGTCCAGCTACATAGAGTGATGATATGTATAGGTTGCTTACCTGTAACCGTATTTCTTTGAGTGGTAATCTGTGAACTGCACACATATGGCTTTCCATTGCACATGTGCAAAGGAAACTCATATGTGTATATTTTACAGACTCCACAGAGAAGAATTCTATGTGTGTTAGACATAAAGATATCCCGCAAACAAAAAAAATGACGAGAATGAAAAAAACAAAAGGATTGCATGGTTAGGTCTTGTTCAGAGAGAACAAAGAGGAAACCAAGAGAAAATGGGAATCCTTACCTAAGCAACAGGACCCGTCCCTGTTGTCCCACAGCGATGTCCTTCAGCCCATCCCCTGTAAGGTCTGTCCCTCCACTGACAGCTTGGCCAAAGTACAAGAGCCCTCCAGTAAAACGTAGCCCTCCAATGCGCTGCAAAAAGAAAAATAGCAAGAGAGGAGACAAAATTGAAGAAGGTGTTATCAGAAATAGACTATGGGCCCTTCCAGACAGGCCCTATATCCCAGGATCTGATCCCAGGTTTGCTGGGGTTGGACTGGATGGCCCACGTGGTCTCTTCCAACTCTATCATTCTATGAATGTCCTTTCCTAGGCATAAAATTGGTGCTCAGCTCACCTGGATGTATTTGGGGTTGAGTGACGTCTGCTTCCCTGCAAAGATATACAAAGCTCCAGCGTTTTCATCTTCCAGGGGCGCCCCAATTGCCACATCCGTCCATCCATCACCAGTTATGTCACCTGCTTCTGCAATGCAGGCCCCAAAGCGACCAAACATTTGTCCCGCCTGCCCTTTCAAAGTTGTGCTACAATGAAGTGACTGCACCTGACCAGTGGAGACAGAGAAAAACAGAGGAATGAAAGGGGACAAAAGGCAACTAAAATGGTACTGTTGTTTTCTCCTGAGCCAAGGCTGAAAGAGTACGAAAAGATTATGCATCACATCTGAAATTTTATGGTGAATCCTGGGACTTGGAGTTCAGGAGAGGAGCCTTTACAAAACTCAGCCAGAGTGGTCATGGGTCTCACTAAATGACAAGTCCCAGAATTCTGCAAGAGGCAGCTACGGGATTTCAGATGGGATGCATACTCTTTGCCTACTGTATTGTTGAAAACTTCCATGGCTGGAATTGTTGGGATGTTGTGTGGTTTCTGTTTTGTATGGCCGTGCCCTAGCAGCATTTTCTCCTGATGTGTCACCTGCATCTGTGGCTAGCATCTTCAGGGGATCTGATGGTAGTCAAGCAAGTGGAATATATATGCCTGTGGAATGTCCAGGGTGGGAGGAAAGAATCATTGTCTGTTATCCAGGTGTAAAGGGCCCAATTAGCCAGCTAGATTTTTTATGTGTTGAGTGGGATACACCCATGTCACATGCTACAGTCCACTTGCTTGACTACCATCAGATCCTCTGAAGATGTCAGCCACAATTGCAGGCAAAATGTCAGGAGAAAATGCTGCTAGAACACGGCCATACAGCCCAGAAACCACACCCCTCTTTGCCTACTCTTTCTGCTCTTTAAAACATTTTTCCTAGTGAGGAAAATTAGATCCCATACATTTGGAAGACACCACAATCTAATTACCAGCATGCAACGATACCAAGGATTTGTTCTGAAAATGTAGTACTTTGCACTCTAAATCATAAAACCACGAAATTTGAAATGCTATAAAAATAGTGCCATGCTTGCTCTAGGAAACTTCTTTCAGTTTCAAGGTTCCAGCTTTTTCAAATAGTTAGGTATAATAACAAAGAGAGCCCTTCTTCTAAACCAGTGGTTCACAACCTCTTAATACAGTTCCTCATGTTGTGGTGACCCCCAACCATAAAATTATTTTTGTTGTTACTTCATAACTGTAATTTTGCTACTGTTATGAATCGTAATGTAAATATCTGATATGCAGGATGTATTTTCATTCACTGGACCAAATTTGACACATACCAGATACGTCCAAATTTGAATACTGGTGGGGTTTGCAGGAGGGAATTGCTTTTGTCATTTGGGAGTTTTAGTTGCTGTGATTTTTAGTTAAACTACAATCAAAGATCATTCTGAATTCCACCAACGATGGAATTGAACCAAACTTGGCACACAGAATTCCCATGACCAACAGAAAATACTGGAAGTGTTGAGTGGACATTGACCTTTTGGAGTTATAGTTCCCCTACATCCAGAGAGCGCTGTGGACTCAAACAATGATGGATCTGGACCAAACTTGGAACAAATACTCAGTATGCCCAAATGTGAAGACTGGTGGAGTTTGGGGAAAATAGACCTTGATATTTGAAAGTCATAGTTGCTGGGATTTATAGTTCACCTACAATCAAAGAGCATTCTCGACCCCACCAACGATAGAATTGGGCCAAACATCCCACACAGAACCCTTATGACCAACAGAAAATACTGTGTTTTCTGATGGTCTTTGGTAATCCCTCTGACACCCCCTCATGATCCCCACAGGGGTCCTGAACCCCAGGTTGAGAAACATATGTGTTTTACTCCTCAACTTCTGAATTTATTTATTTTTATTATTTATTTATTTATTTATTTGGAGCATTTATTAACCGCCATTCTCAGCCCACTCGGGCGACTCACGGCGGTGTACAGTACAAAAGGCAATTCACACAAAGACAAGTACAACAGCATATTAACCATACAACAATACAACAGTTAAAATTACACTAACTAATCCGCTTCGTCTCGTAATAGAATCGTGACCAATCTCGTATTCCTTGTACCATTCCAGTCGTCTTTACCACATTACTATAGCACTTAATTAAATGCCCTCTCGAACAGCCACGTCTTGAGGCTTTTTCGGAAGGACAAAAGAGAGGGCGCCTGCCTGATGTCTGTAGGGAGAGGGTTCCACAACCGGGGGGCCACCACTGAGAAGGCCCTCTCTCTCGTCCCCGCCAGGCGTGCCTGTGAGGCAGGCGGGATCGAGAGAAGGGCCTCCCCAGACGATCTCAAGGTCCTCGTGGGCTCATAGGCCAAGATGCGGTCTGAAAGGTATTTTGGGCCGGAGCCGTTCAGGGCTTTGTAGGCCAACACCAGCACCTTAAATTGGGCCCGGTAGCAAATCGGCAGCCAGTGGAGCTGGGACAACAAGGGCGTTGTGTGCTCCCTGTATCCCGCTCCAGTTAGTAGCATAGCTGCCGCACGCTGAACCAGCTGCAGCTTCCGGGCCGTCTTCAAGGGCAGCCCCACGTAGAGAGCGTTGCAGTAGTCAAGCCGGGATGTGACCAGAGCGTGTACCACCGTGGCCAAGTCAGACTTCCCGAGATACGGGCGCAGCTGGCGCACGAGCCAAGCTGTGCAAATGCTCCCCTGGTCACCGCTGAAACCTGGGGATCCAGGCTCAACGATGAATCCAGGGTCACACCCAAGCTGCGAACCTGCGCCTTCAAGGGGAGTGCGACCCCATCCAGCACAGGCTGTAACCCTATATCCCGTTCGGCCTTGCGACTGACCAGGAGTACCTCTGTCTTGTCTGGATTTAGTTTCAGTTTGTTCGCCCTCATCCAGACCGTCACAGCGGCCAGGCACCGGTTCAGGACCTCGACAGCCTCCTTAGTAGCAGGTGGAAAGGAGTGACAGAGTTGGACATCATCTGCGTACAGATGACACCGCACCCCGAAACTCCGGATGATCTCACCCAGCGGCTTCATGTAGATATTAAACAGCATGGGGGACAGTATGGAACCCTGTGGAACCCCACAAGTCAAAGGTTGTGGTGTAGAACAGGAGTCCCCCAATAACACCTTCTGGGTGCGGCCCTCCAGGAATGAGTGGAGCCACTGCAAAGCAGTGCCCCCAAGGCCCATTTCCGCAAGGGCGCCCCAGAAGGATACCGTGGTCGACGGTATCGAAGGCCGCTGAGATGTCCAGGAGCACCAACAGGGACACACTCCCCCTGTCTAGCTCCCGGCGCAGATCATCCACTAAGGCGACCAAGACCGTCTCGGTACCATGTCCCGGTCTGAAACCAGACTGTGCCGAATCCAGATAATCCGTGTCTACCAAGAATGCCTGGAGTTGTGAGGCCACCACACGTTCCATGACTTTGCCCAAAAAGGGGAGATTGGAAACAGGCCGAAAGTTGTCGAATTTAGTGGGGTCCAGTGATGGTTTCTTCAACAGCGGTTTTATAAGCTTGTTTTAAGCTCGCTGGAATCTTGCCTTCCCGAAGGGAGGCATTAACCACCACCGTTACCCACTCAGCCAATCCCCCTCTGGCCTCCTTCAGAAGCCAGGATGGGCAGGGGTCTAGGATGGACGTGGTGGGCCTCATTCCTCCAAGTATCTTGTCCACATCCTCGGGTTTCACAAACTGAAAAGAATCCATCAAAATAGGACAAGCAGGTGCTCTTGTTACATCCTCTGAGACTGCATTTAACGCGGCGTCCAGCCCAGAACGGATCAAGGCGACTTTGTCTGCAAAGAACCGAGCAAATGCTTCACAGCGCGTGACCGAATTGTCAGGGCTCCCGCCAGAGGTGGCGGGAGTTAAAAGACCTCTAACAATCCGAAACAACTCCGCCGGACGGTTCTTTGCAGACGCAATAGTGGCCGCAAAGAAAACTTTCTTTGCGGCCTTTATTGCCGCGGCATATGCCCTAAGAAAGGACACAAACCGTGCTCGGTTTGACTCGCTTGGATCCGAACGCCACACGCTCTCTAGTTCCCTCTTCCTTCGCTTCATCACTGCCAGCTCCTCAGTAAACCAAGGGGCTGGTTTAGCTCGGCTACTTGAGAGGGGACGCTCCGGAGCGATCATGTCAATTGCCCTGGTCATCTCCCCATTCCAGAGAGCGACCAAGGCCTCGACATGGTCACCTACCGAGGTGGCGGGAAAATCCCCAAGAGCCGTCAGGAATCCATTCGGATCCATAAGCCTCCTGGGGCGGACCATCTTAATGGGTCCTCCACCTTTGCAGAGGTAGGGGGCGCAGTGAGCCTAAATCTGATCAGGAAGTGGTCGGTCCATGGCAACGGAGAGATGGACAACTCCTCCACACCGCCACCTGCTCCCATCCCTGGCAGAAAACCAAGTCCAATGTATGTCCAGCACAGTGGGTAGGGCCAGTTATTCGTTGGGACAGCCCCATGGTTGCCATGGCGGACATGAAGTCCTGAGCTGCTCCTGTGAGGGTCGCCTCGGCATGGATATTGAAGTCCCCCAGCACAAGAAGCCGTTGAGACTCCAACGCCAGGCTCGAGACCACCCCTGCTAGCTCAGGTAGGGAGACTGTAGTGCAGCGAGGTGGACGGTACACTAACAGAATCCCTATTCTGTCCCGGTCACCCACCCTCAGGTGGACGCATTCAAAATTTGTGGTCTGCGGGATGGGACTCCTGGTCAGATGGATGGAATCTCTATAGACCACTGCGACCCCGCCTCCCCGTCCTCCGGATCTCGGTTGGTGCTGTACGGAGAAGCCTGGAGGACAAAGCTGGGTAAGATTTATGCCCCCAGCTTCATCCAGCCAGGTCTCCGTAATGCACGCCAGATCTGCCCGCTCATCCAGGATTAAGTCCTGGATCCAGGTCGTTTTTCCGTTGACAGACCTGGCGTTCAGCAGCACCACCTTCAATCCGGAGGGCCCGCTCACCTGGTTACACCAATATACCTTAGGAGACCGGTTTAGGGTTGTTAATGTTGGTAAGCGGTCCGAATTAAGCCGAATTTGAGGTCTCCTTTTACCGCATCTCCTCCTCCCCACCACGACCTCTATGGGGGCCCCTCGGCTAGTGGAACACCTCCCCTCCTCCATGCCGCAGTCCAGCACCAAGGTCTTATTTCCAATATCGCTCGAAGTTTGGATTGTTGGCCTTTGCCATCTCCCTTGCCTCCCCTCCTCCCCCCTCCCCGCCCCATCCTTGTTCACAGGCTCCAGCCCTCCTCCTCCCCTGCCCCCTCCACTAGTCAGCAGTAACAGGGACAGAACAAATAGGGGGATGGGGAGCCACATGGATAACAATAGATTCAGGTGGGGCTAGGCGTTCAGCCACACCAGTTAAACAGTTCGTAAAGTGCAAGAGACTTAAATGCCACCCAGTCAGTAATATCACTCAATCAACAACATACTGCGTACCGTTGGGCACATACATAAAGTGCAAGATCTAAGGTGCAGTACATAAAGTGCAAGATCTAAGTGCAATAGATACCCAAACTGGTTCTCTCAATTAACTAAAGTGCGGCATAGAGGAAAAGGATGGGGGCGTAGTGCTGGTATAATTTAGCAGCAGTGGCAGGCGCCTTAAAGTGCTATTGCGTTCTTGATCAAATTAGCAGCAAACGACAACCAAGGGGTAACTGAGGTAGTGATATGTAATCACACTCTCACAAGGATGATGGTAATAGTAATTGGATAAGGTTATTAAAATTGTTATGATTCAGATGTAATCCCTAGACGGTTGGTCTAAAAGCGGATGGGTCATCCGGCGATGTCAACACAGCGGCGGTCAGCACAGTTGAACTACGATGATATCTCTTCATACAAAGAGGCCAGCATAAGAGGTCTACACAAACGGTCTACACAAGAGGTCTACACAAGAGGTCTACACAGTAACAATCAGCAGTTCAACACAGTCAACACAATCAGCAGGCACTGCTGGACCATGAAAGATCACACAATTTGTCCAAGATTGGATCAGCGGGATGCAAAGGTGGCGGTAATTTGGTCACAGGTGGCCGACTCAGTCTTCCGGGGGTGGTGGATACCGGACAACCACCGAAAGATCTAAAATGCTCTAGGCTAAAGTGACATAGTAGTAGAACCAGTTCGAAAAAAGTTAACCAAAACAAGCCAAAACTATGCTAAGCTAAAGTATATGGCTCAGAGATACATTTAAAACCAATATGGCTAATTCTTTGTTCCCACAAAACCCTCAAGCAATATCTTCTTACATTTGAATGATAGATCTGTCATCCTGTAACCACCCATCACTTCCTTTCTCTCTCAGTTTCGGAGAGAACAGGGAAGAGGCTTGGAAGCATTAGTAGTAGAAGTAAAATGCCAATGATAAAACATTACAGAAAGAAATAATGTTGATATAAAAAAGCAATAAAATTAATTCATTAGTCAAACTGTTACATTTAGAAATCTTTTAAAATTTACTAGAAATCAGGGATGGATTAAAGTAATCAAAACATTAATTGTTGCTCAAAATTACATCATAGGCATTTAACAGTTAAATATCACATTTATTGAATAGCTTTCCATAATTTTAACAAATAGTGTGGGTTAAAGTTATGAACAATGATTTATAAATGTGTGAATAGTGCTTGAAGCAATTTCTGTGTTAGTCTGTTTGAACATTAAAAGATTTATATCCAGCATCACCTTTGAGGTTAACAGGGAAATAGACATTTCTAACAGAAGCTTTTGTAGACTCTTGTAGTAGAGGTTTCTTCTTCCTAGCTATTGAATTCCTTTACGTGTTTTCATCTTGAATGCACTATCTCCAAAGTCTTCACACATGTGCACATATATACATAGGTGAGGGTGAATGCACCACACACATATACACACACACAGCTACCTTTGTCCCCCTTGCCATAAATTCACAGATGTAGACCCTTCCTCCAGTGACAGCATCATAGTACATGGGGGCTCCAACCAGAACCAGATCTGTGTTTGCATCTTGATCCAAGTCCACTGAGCACAGAGTCGCTCCAAAATAGGAACCAACCTATGGCATGAGAGAAATTACCTTTTATATTTTGTCTTCCTCCATTCATGTTAACTTTCATTCAGGTTCAAGTCTCTGTGTGTGCCGAGAAATCAACATTTGGAACAAAGTTTTTTTTAATTGTTATTCCTTGTATTAGAAATGGAATGAAACAGAAGTACTACAATATGGTGCCCTATTCCCAGAATGATATTGGGGTCAATGGGCTACTGGAAGCAGCTAAAATAACCAAAAACTTAACAGTGTAATTTCCCCACTCTCCTTCTTCAAAGCAAGTCATCTATCAGGACAACCAAAGCGCTTTAGTCCCAAGACCAGCCAAAGGATTAGAAAATATTTAATAGATGTCCCAGAAAAAAATTATTTGACAGCCTTATAATAATAACATTAATTCATACATTAATTTTTGTATTAATGTATTATGATGCTATTATGTTTATTCTATGTGTGTATGAATTTTCTGCTGTTAGCTGGCCTGAGTCCCTCTTCGGAGGTCAAGAAGGGGTTATAAAAGCTCTAAATAAATAAATAAATAAATAAACAACAACAACAACAATGTGTTGTCGAAGGCTTTCATGGCTGGAATCACTGGGTTGCTGTGAGTTTTCTGAGCTGTATGGCCATGTTCCAGAAGCATTCTCTCCTGACGTTTCACCCACATCTATGGCAGGCATCCTCAGAGGTTGTGAGGATGCCTACCATAGATGTGGGTGAAACATCAGGAGAGAATGCTTCTGGAACATGGCCATACAGCCCTGAAAACTCACAGCAACCCAATAATAATATACTTTATTTATATTCTCCCCTTCTCCCCTAGGGGGCTCAGAGCAGATTACAGTATTTACAAACATAGGCAAACATTCAATGCCTTTACAATCCTATACAATGAGGCACACAACACAAACAAAGGCAGAGGCATCTCCTTTAATTTCCAGCTTCTGGAGGCGATGCTCATCTCTGGCTGTGTGGAGGTGCTTTTCTCCATTTTCAAATTGAGGGGCCTGCGTTGTCACCTCCTGGTCGTGGGGCCAGCAAGATTGTTTGGAGTTGCCTTTTCCCGCATAAGCAGTACTTATTTATCTACTCACATTTGCATGTTTTTGAACTAATAGGCTGGCAGGAACTGGAGCTAACAGATGGGAGCTCACCCCATCTCGCGGATTCAAACTGTCGACCTTCACATCCGCAATTCGGCAGCACAAGGTTCAACCCATTGCGCCATTGCAGCGCCATTACGGCTCCTTAGTATTAATCCACCAAACAACATCAAGATAATGTTCTCAACTGGTGAGGAGATATCTCTTATGTCTGTGAGTTGATCAACAATTTTTTGTGGATACATATCTTCTGTCCACATTTAGAAGTTTTCCAGCAAGTATCTCACCTTCACCTGCATTTCCCTCAATGCAACCCATACCTGTTCTCCAACAGCTTCTGCTTTCAGTTGCCATTCTCCACGCCTGGGATGTTTCTCAAACAGAACCACTTTGCCAACATAGTCATAGCGGGGAGCTCCCACCACAAAACTAATTTTACCATTGTGCTGGACAGGCTGAGAGGAATAGCCTAAAGGGGAACAGATATTGGTGATCATTTAGTGGTGCAATTCTAGTTGGGATGGATTGACCTTGAAGATGGTGCTCAAGAGAATATATCTGAAAGCCATTCTTAAAAACCCCTGGTCTCAAAGTAAAGGTTTGCAACAATTTCATTACTAGCCTTTTTCCAGAGTTGCCAGATTGGTATATCTGCTTTCCCTTCATCTTGCCCTCACAATAACCCCTTGAGGTAAGCTCAACTGAGAAGACTGCTTGAAATCCAGGTACCAAGTCAGTCAAAACAAGGTCTGTGTAAGCCAAGTTTTAGTTTAGTTGCCCACCTCAAATGCTGCTAGTCAAAATAGACCAAATTGAAAGATGAAGAGTTTGGTCTTCCAGAAGACTGTGTCCTGTGTTTGAGATGCAGGAAAAGAGGCACAAGATGAGGAAATACGGCCAATTTTTGGTAAATTCCTTATTGGTTACAGAGCACGGTTTGCTCCAGATGCCTCTGAAGTAAAAAAAAAATAGTGGCTGTACAAAAAATGGAAGACTAAAATGATCAAGTGTCTGGAAAACAAGCCCTATGAGGAGCAGCTTAAAGAGCTGGGCATGTTTAGCCTGAAGAAGAGAAGGCTGAGAGGAGACATGATAGCCATGTATAAATATGTGAGAGGAAAGGAAAGGGAGGAGAGAAGCTTGTTTTCTGCTACCCTGGAGACTAGGATACAGAATAACACTTCAAACTACAAGAAAGGAGATTCCATCTGAACATTAGGAAGAACTTCCTGACTATGAGAGCTGTTCAGCAGTAGAACTCTCTGCCCCAGAGTGTGGTGGAGGCTCCTTCTTTGGAGACTTTTAAACAGAGGCTGGATGGCCATTTGTTGGGGGTGCTTTGAATGCGGTTTTCCTACTTCTTGGCAGGGGGTTGGACTGGATGGCCCGAGGTCTCTTCCAACTCTTTGATTCTATGATTCTAGATTAGGCAAGAGATAGCGGAGATTGGGTTTTCACACTTACCAAGGTACGCATTGTCCATTCTCTTAGCAGCGCTAGAAATATTAACAAAACTTGGGTTTCTATTGCCGTTCTGGTACAGAATTATTCCTCCAGTCCAGTCGTAGGATCCCACAGCTCCTACAACAGGGCCTTCCTGCACCAAACAACAAAGAGAATCAAAACTTTTTGCAATTGGCTATATGCTAGCTATGATTTCAATTAGACATAACAATCAATGCTAATTCAGATAATAGGATGCCACTTCTTGAGCTATTATCTGCCAACAGGTAACCTTTGAGTTATGGAGAAAATATCTCCAAAATCCTCAGTTATCAACTGCTTTGATCAGATCTTGCATCCTTAAGGCTGTGGCTTCTTTGACCAAATCAATTCACCTGTCGTGTCATCTACCTCTTTTCTCACTGTTTTCTACTCTATCAAGTATTATTGTCTTTTCTGATAAATCACATTGTTTCATGATGTGTCCAAAGTTATACAACCTCAGTTTAGTCACCTTTCCATCTAGTGAGAGGTCAGATTTCCACGTTATCACACCAGGGCTATAAAGTGGACAGCCCCACATTTCTGCTGCCTGCAGAATTCTGAGAAATGTAGTTTGGGAAGGAGAGGACTTCTGTACCTGAGAATTCAAAAGGCCCTGCTATCTAAAGCTTGTGTGTGTGAGAGAGTGCATGTGTGTGTGTGCATAGCTGTAGTTAATAATATAATTTGTTGTTCATTCATTCAGTCGTTTCCAACTCTTCGTGACTTCATGGACCATCACACCAGAGCTCCCTGTCGGTCGTCACCAACCCCAGTTCCTTCAAGGTCAATCTAGTCACTTCAAGGATCCCATCCATCCATCTTGCCCTTGGTCGGCCCCTCTTCCTTTTTCCTTTCATTTTCCCCAGCATAACTGTCTTCTCTAAGCTTTCCTTTCTTCTCATGATGTGGTCAAAGTACTTCATCTTGGCCTCTACTATTCTTCCCTCCAATGAGCAGTCGGGCTTTATTTCCTGAAGTATGGACTGGTTGGATCTTCTCACAGTCCAAGGCACTCTCAGAACTTTCCTCCAGCACCACAGTTCAAAAGCATCTATCTTCCTTCACTCTGCTTTCCTTATGGTCCAGCTCTCATGTCCATAGATGACTATGGGGAATACCATTGCTTTAACTATGCGGATCTTTGTTGCCAGTGTGATGTCTCTACTCTTCACTATTTTATCGAGATTGGTCATTGCTCTCCTCCCAAGAAGTAAGCGTCTCCTGATTTCCTGGCTGCAGTCTGCGTCTGCAGTAATCTTTGCACCTAGAAATACAGAGTCTGTCATGGCCTCCACGTTTTCTCCCTCTATTTCCAAGTTGTCAATCCTTCTTGTTGCCATAATCTTGGTTTTTTTTTTTGATGTTCAACTGCAACCCAGCTTTTATTTATTTTATTTATTTATTTTATTTACATACCACCCTATCTCCCCCAGGGGACTCAGAGAGGTTTCCACATATACAAAATAATACAAAAACATACAATGTAAAACAAAAACATAGGCATAAACTATTAACACAACATATACATTAAAATACATTTAAAACCAGTTCCACTCTCTTCTTCATGCAAGGTAAGCTGCCAGGGGCCAATATTTCAATAAGGGGCTTGGACTATTTGGAATGGGCTGGACCAAGGGTAGTGCAAGGAGAAGGGAAACATGGGGCTGGTTGAATACTACAGTGCAAGGATCGGTTTAATGCATATGTTGTGTTAGCAATGGCCCTTCTAGGGGACCGGGGCCACTCAATTCCAGGGCCAATCAAAGGACTATAAAAAAGGTCTGGGCCAGAAGAAAAGGTGCCCTCAGATGGCAGGGAACTGGAGAATGGATGGGGTACAAGGCAAAGTCCTAACTGTTGGACCAAGGGCTTGAGATTTGAGACTGGAGTTACATAAAAAATTTTTTACTTGTTCTGACTTACATAAAAATTCAACTTAAGAACAAAACTACAAAGCCTATCTTGTAACTTGGGGACTGCCCGTATAGTGTTATATTGCAAAAAGAAAGCCAACGTTGTGTAGTGTTTTGAGTGTTGGACTAGAACTCTGGACAACAAGGTTCGAATTCCTACTTGGCCATGGAATTCCACTTTGTGACTTTAGGAAGGTCACACTCTCTCAGAAGGCAATAACAATCCCCTCTAATCAAATTGTGCCTAGAAAAACCTATGATAAGGTTACTTTAGAATCAACAGAAGTCAGAAATGGCTTGAAAACACACAAAACCAAAGTGCAAATGTACTATTTAACTTGTGAACCATAGCTTTATCATTATAAAAAAGAATGAAGGAGAAGAGAAGGGAGTATTTGTTCTAATAGCTCTCGGAAATAAAATGCTGCCAATGGTGCCAGTTATTTCCAGAAAATAGACCAGGACAACATAACTGTTGTCGAAGGCTTTCATGGCCAGAAGCACTGGGTTGTTGTAGGTTTTTTCAGGCTATATGGCAATGGTCAAACAAGGACATCTAATCACCTCTCAACAAAAGTTTGCTCTAGGCACTGTCAGGCCATTATCTGCTAATCAAGGTGGTCAGTTGAAACATTCACACCTAGCTCCAGCAGACAAGAGTCCTTTGTCCACCCTGGTCATTCCACAGATATATAAACCCTTTTTCCTAGTTCCAACAGACCTCACTACCTCTGAGGATGCTTGCCATAGATGCAGGCGAAACATCAAGAGAGAATGCCTCTAGACCATGGCCATATAGCCCGAAAAAACCTACAACAACCCAACATAACTGTTGTTTGGATATATTAAGAAGCTCTGAGAAATACAGCAGCAAATACTGCAGCCTCCTGTCACATTTGTGTCATCTAAGGGCATCTTTAGAATTCATTGATGTGGACTTTGGATGTGCTCAGAGGGTGGAAGTGACTCACTGGTGTCAGCAAGGCACTGAATCCTTCCTGGGACATCTCCATCTGGAAGGAACTGGTGCTGTGAGATTGTGTACCTGAAGGGAAGAAGCAGAGAAGAACATTTAGCAGTTCATAAACAAGCAAAACTCAAAACTCTCCACAAAGTTTCCGCCAATGACATGACTGAATCACGGTAGTTATGTTTGATGATGCAGGATCTCAGTCAATGTTAATACTACTGTTGCCAAGGAGGGTGGGGAAGCTGGTCTTTTCACTTTTCACAGTGCGGTAAAAGTCTCACGACACTTGATCATTGTTTCCAATCTGACAAGGTTTTCTCCTCAAGGCTGGGAAACTTGTTCACCTAGCCCAAAGCCAAACCCATTACATCCCCAAAGGAGGACAGGTTTGTGAGGTGGCTTTGCTCAGAGCCCTTATGGTACCTTCAATGGCAAAGATCTTATCCTGCAGCTGGTCCTGGATGCCTTTGAGAGCATTGAAATTGTACACTGTGAAGACGTGCTCTGCCTTTGGCTCAGAGGCAATGTCGTCCAGTTCCTGCCTGGCATTGGTTCTCGAAAAAGCATCACCCACCTTTCACAGGGAAAAAAGAGAGAAGAAGACCATCACAGATTCAGGTATGTCTAGCATTGATAAGAAAGGCAAAGCTCGGGAGCATATAGAAAAACGTGAACACTGCCTTCCCCGCCCCCCCCCCCCCATATAATTTGCTCAGTTTTATACGGATTAGATCCAGGTTATTTGAAGGACCGCATGCCTCTCTATGAACCTGTTAGGAATTTATGAACATTTCAGGAGGACCTTCTTTCTGCCCCACCACCTACTCAATTATGTTTGGTTGGAACTCCCTCCCAAGAGAAACCAGGATTTTCTCAAGCAGGTGAAGACAAAAAAAAAATTGCCATCAGGCATTTGGGAGAGGATGGGGGACACACTGCTAGGGAGGTTGTGAGTGGGATATTGTGGGGATGGTGAATTTTTTAAATGTAATTTTAAATTGTATTTATTGTATTTCATTGGAATTCTAACTTTATATCTGTGTGTGTGTGTGTGTGTGTGTGTGTGTGTGTGTGTGTGTATAAAAAATTGTGTGGTGTTGAGTCCGTTAAGGGGAGAAAGGCGGGATATAAATAATGATGATGGTGATGATGATTATAATAATAATAGGTTTTAGGGGGTTTCATAGTAGAGGACAGACATTGACTCAAGGAGAGAATGACAACATGATCATGTACATACAAATGTGTGCACATAACCAAGGAAATGGCCATTCTCAAATATAATTAGTGGGTTTACATGTTTTTGTTTATTTGTTCAGTCACTTCCAATTCTTCGGGAGCTCATGGACCAGCCCACACCAGAGCTCTATGACAGCTGACACCACCCCCATCTCCTTCAAAGTCAAGCCAGTCACTTCAAAGATACTATCTAACCATCTTGCCCTTGGTCGGCCCCTCTTCCTTTTTCATAGATCATAGAATCAAAGAGTTGGAAGAGACCTCATGGGCCATCCAGTCCAACCCCATTCTGCCAAGAAGCAGGAATATTGCATTAAAGCACCCCTGACAGATGGCCATCCAGCCTATGTTTAAAGGCCTCCAAAAAGGAGCCTCCAACACACTCCATGGCAGAGAGTTCCACTGCTGAACAGCTCTCACAGTTAGGAAGTTCTTCCTCATGTTCAGGTGGAATCTCCTTTCTTGTAGTTTGAAGCCATTGTTCGCATCCTAGTCTCCAAGGAAGCAGAAAACAAGCTTGCTCCCTCCTCCCTGTGGCTTCCTCTCACATATTTATACATGGCTATCATATCTCCTCTCAGCCTTCTCTTCTTCAGGCTAAACATGCCCAGATCCTTAAGCCGCTCCTCATAGGGCTTGTTCTCCAGACCCTTGATCATTTTAGTCGCCCTCCTCTGGACACATTCCAGCTTGTCAATATCTCTCTTGAATTGTGGTGCCCAGAATTGGACACAATATTCCAGGTGTGGTTTAACCAAAGCGGAATAGAGGGGTAGCATTACTTCCCTAGATCTAGGTCTAGCATTACTTCCTTCTGTTCCTTCAGTTTTCTCCAGCATCATTCTCTTCTCCAAGCTTTCCTGTCTTCTCATTTATGTGGCCAAAGTACTTCATCTTTGCCTCTAATATTCTTCCCTCCAGTGAGCAGCCGGGCATTATTATTATTATTATTATTATTATTATTATTATTATTATTTACTACATTTGTATACCACTCTTCTCAGCCCTTGGGCAACTCAGAGCAATTCACAAAAGCATTCATTATTTCCTGAAGTATGGACTGGTTGGATCTTCCTGCAGTCAAAGGCACTCTCAGAATTTTCCTCCAACACCACAGTTCAAAAGCATCTATCTTCCTTCGCTCAGCCTTCCTTATGGTCCAGCTCTCACATCCATAGGTTACTATGGGGAATACCACTGCTTTAACTATGTGGATCTTCATTGCCAGTGTGATGTCTCTACTCTTCACTATTTTATCGAGATTGGTCATTGCTCTCCTCCCAAGAAGTAAACATCTTTTGATTTCCTGGCTGCAGTCTGCGTCTGCAGTAATCTTTGCACCTAGAAATACAAAGTCTGCCACTGCCTCCATGTTTTCTCCCTCTATTTGCCAATTATCAATCAGTCCGGTTGCCATAATCTTGATTTTTTGTTTATATGTGAAGCTGCTCAAATCAAAATCTTGCGAATGCTCACCCTTGCTAAATCCTCACCCCAATAGCATAGCGGATGATCCCTGCTTGCTCAGCCTCCGGAATCACTTGCCAGTACTGAAGGTTGTCAGTCTTCACCCCGTCTGTTATCACAATAAGAATCCTGGTGGCTCCTTTCCGAGCTCCCTTCTCTGAGGTGAACAGTTCCCGCCTTGTAAAGAGAGAGGGAAAGAAAGAAAAATGATGATTCAATTGATTGTACAAAGGAGAAGACAAGAGACAGAAGGAAAGAAGAGAGGAGTAAGATGATATGGCTAAGAGAGACCTACACAACTCTTCGGATGGCTGTAGCTGTTCGGGTCCATCCACTGACCTGATAAATATCCAGAACAAGTTGCTCTGGGTCTTTGCTGTTGAAATTAAAGTGTTCCAGGTATTTGTCTGAGAACTGTATGAGGGCAAACTGACACAAGGAAGAAGAAAACACGGTTAGTAGTTATGGCCAATAGCTGTTTCTTAGTGGATTTAGTGGATTCAGAACAATCACTTGTCAGGCACTAATATCTCTGCTGGCTAGGGGGTTTCTGCCGGGGGGGGGGGGGGGGCTTCCAAATTCTGGCTTTATCATTAAACTGCAACCTTTTCCCCATTACTATGCAAATGCATCACTTTCCTGTAAAGGATTGATGTTTGCAGGATGCTAGAAATATATGATCTACTTGTCTCACTCATAGTTCAAGTGTTACAACTGGAAGGGATTGTTTAGATGTCACCAATAGAATCATAGAATCATACAATAATAGAATTGGAAGAGACCACATGGGACATCTAGTCCAACCCCACATGGGCCATCTACTTGAATAATAATAATTATTATTGGCCAGGCTTTAGCACAGCAGGTTAGCTGCCAGCTGCAGAAAATCTTGCCAATCAAAAGGTTAACAGTTCAAGCCCAGCTCGAGGTGAGCTTCTGGCTGTCAGTCCAGATTCTGCCCACCTGGCAGATCGAAAACTGTAATGTGATTAGATAAATAGGTACCGCTTGAAGTAGTGAGGCAATAAAAGGCACCCACAAGGACATGCCAACGATTCAATCTGGAGGTCGTCTATGGCAGTGGTTCTCAACCTGTGAGTCCCCCACAGGTTTTGGCTTACAACTCCCAGAAATCCCAGCCAGTTTACCAGCTGGGCTATTGTAAGATTTTTTGGGCTATATGGCCATGTTCTAGAGGCATTCTCTCCTGACGTTTTGCTTGCATCTATGGCAAGCATCCTCAGAGGTAGTGAGGTCTGTTGGAACTAGAAAAAAGGAAAAAGCCCATGAAATCCTTCGACAATATAGTTTACTAGCTGTTAGGATTTCTGGGAGTTGAAGACCAAAACATCTGGGGATCCACAGGTTGAGAACCAGTGGTCTACAGACAACAAAAAGCTCCTCGGCATGAAAGATGGAACGACAGCACCCCTGTGGCCAGAGGTGAGCGCAGTCTCCAGATTCTGGAGATGGACAAACATGGGAAAAATCTATAGCCCTGTTTATGTACTGTCTGTCCTTGTCAATTGTATTATAGCACTGAATGTTTGCCATATATGTGTTCTGTAATCTGTCCTGAGTCCCCTCGGGGAGATAGAGCAGAATATAAATACAGTAAATAAAGTATATATTGTCAAAGGCTTTCATGGCTGGAATCACTGGGTTGTTGTAGGTTTTTCAGGCTATATGGTCATGTTCTTGACGCACTCTCTCCTGATGTTTTACCTGCATCTATGGTAGGAATCTTCAGAGGTTGTGAGGTCTGTTGGAAACTAGGAAAATTGGGTTTATATATCTGTGGAATGTCCAGGGTGGGAGAAAGAACTCTCCCACAGATATATAAACATTCCACAGATATATAAACCCAATTTTCTTAGTTTCCAACAGACCTTACATCCTCTGAGGATACCTGCCATAGATGCAGGTGAAACATCAAGAGAAAATGCTTCTAGAACATGGCCATATAGCCCAAAAACTTACAACTCAAAGTATATTATTATTATTATTATTATTATTATTATTATTATTATTACATTTATTTATACTCCACTTTATCTCTATAAAGGGAACTCAAAGCTGCTTGACATAAAAGCAATAGTATACAATTTAAAATATTCAAATATGCATATATTCACACAGAATTAAACATAAACAGCACTAAAAACATTCACAGTTAAATTCCATCCATATTATACTTCTGCCCACATTGAAATCAGAGGATCTTCAATTAGTTTCACATTTCACATACATTTCAAATAAGGATATTGCCCAGGAACACTAAGTTTTACCCATTCTTTTCTGCATGAATTGTCAAAATACTGTATAGAGTCTGTGCTTTTAAGAATTGTATAAAGAAAAAGGACACATGCACACTTGTCAGAAGAAACAATTTCTCGACAACTGATTTTTTGATAACAACAAGAATCTTTAAGTCACTCCTCCAATCTATAGAAGATGGACATTTTATATCAAAGCTCCATTGATCTATAAAATAAAAGTGATTGAGTTAATTAATAAAATAAATAACATCATTTATATTATGCCCTATCTTCTCGAGGGGACTAAAGTTGAACTAAAGTTGGTTGATATCACAGGTTCCTTGTATACTCGTAACTGCAGTTTCCAAGTTCTGTCCCGCAGAACCCTAGAGTTTCACAAAAGCATCATAGAAACTCTAATCTTTTTAAAAAAATCTTTTTAAAGTCTATACCAGAGTAAGGGTAAATGTAAAGGCTTTCCCTGATATTAAGTCTAGTCGTTCCCGACTCTGGGGGGGTGGTGCTCATCTCCATTTCTAAGCCGAAGAGCCGCTGTTGTCCATAGACACCTCCAAGGTCATGTGGTCAGGATGACTGAATGGAGCGTCATTACCTTCCTGCAGAAGCGGTACCTATTGATCTACTCACATTTGCATGTTATCAAACTGCTAGGTTGGCAGAAGCTGGGCCTAACAGTGGGAGCTCACCTCGCTCCCCAGATTCAAACCGCCAACCTTTCAGTCAGCAAGTTCCGCAGCTCAGTGGTTTACCCCACTGCGCCACCGGGTAGGGGGGAATGCCAGAGTATGAAGTTCGTATTGAAATTTAATGTACCTCTGCTTTTTAAAAAATTGAATATCTTTATTTCCAAACCTACGTCACAAAAACCACCCAGGTAATAGAAGTAGATGGAAGGGCTTTGTGTCTTCAGGTGCTTAGG